TCTAAGTAGGGGATTCTACTTCAGCACCATCTTCCTGGAAGTCTTTGCCTGGTATTTTCAATCACTTTAAATGCATGCAAAAACTGGACAAAGCATAAGGATGAATGAAGAAAAACTGATGTATTTGGATTATGGTGTTGGCAAAGCACATTGAAAATACTCATGAATTCTAGGAAAACAAACAAAATTGTATTGGAAGAAGTGCAGCCTGAATGATCCTTAGAACCAAGGGTGGTAGGACTTCATCTCACACATTTTGCACTTTGCACATGCTATCAGGAGAAACCAGGCTTTGGAAAAGGACTTCGTGTATGGTGAAGTAGAGGGTCATTGAAAAAGAGCAAGACTGAGATGGATTGTCAAGGAGATGGGTTGACACAATTGTTGCAGCAATAGGCTCAAACATAGCAACAATTGTGAGGGTGTTGCAGGACCCATCAATGTTGCATTCTGTTGTACGTAGGGTTGCTATGAGCTAGAAGGATTCTGTAGTGCGCCCCAATAATAGCCACTGGTTATACTTTTCTAGGGAACCCTAATTCTGATAACATGGAATTCAAATGGGAAATGGTAAGGTCTCAACAGTTTCCTCCTACCCCAAAGAGCTTCCTAGAGGTCATTATGCAAATATATTAACCCCCCCCCTTTTCTATAGCTACCAACTCTGAGCCCACTGCTGTCTAGTCAATTCTGAACAGAGTCATTCCATGGGATTTCTGAGACTGTAATTGCTCATGATAGCAGATGGCCACGGTTTTCTCTCAAGAAGCCATGAGTGGGTTTGAACCATCTACTTCTCTGTTAGCAGCCTGATGCTTAACTTTCAATACTGAATACCAAGTAGATCATAAAAGGTTCCTATCACACTGCACTGTATTACAAAGGAGGGTGTTTACTGAACTTAAATTTGCATAAATTAAAGGGCCATTCAAATGATTTATTGGAATCCTGGAAGTATGCTTCAGTGAACTTTTTAGTTATTCCTTTATTATTGTGGTGAAATGTGCCAAGCAAACATTTGCCAGCTATCACTTGACTTTTTGACAGTTTTCTTCTTTTTTTTCTATTGAAAAAACATTTTTTGAGCATTTTTTCTTTTCTTTTTAAATCATTTTATTGGGGGCTCTTACAGATCTTATAACACTCTATGCATCCATTGTGTCAAGCATATTTGTACATATGTTTGTCACCATCCATTTCAAAACACTTTCTTTCTCTGAGTCCTTAGTATCCGCTCATTTCTCCGTCCCTCCCTCAACCTACCCCCCTCATGAACCCTTGATAAGTTATGTTATTATTATTTTCATATCTGACACCATCTGTTGTTTCCCTCACCCAGTTTCTGTTGTTCATCATCCTGGGTGGTGGCACGGGGTACATGTCGATCATTGCACTTGGTTCCCCCTTCTTCCCTCACCTTCCCCTACCCTCATGGTATCACTATGCCCATTATTGCTCCTGAGGGGTTGATCTGTCCTGGATTCCATGTGTCAAGAACTCTTATCTGTACCACTGTAAATGCTCTGGTCTAACCAGATTTGTAAGGTAGAACTGGGGTTGTGATAGTAAGAAGGAGGAAGCATTAAAGAACTAGAGAAAGTTGTATGTCTCATCGGTGCTACACTGCACCCTGGCTGGCTCATCCCTTCCTTGTGACCCTTCTGTATGGGGATGTCAAACTGGGTCTCCACTCTGACCTTCCTTGTTTGCATCAATAGGATTGTTTGTTTTGGGTCTTCTGATGCTTGATACTTGATCTCATCAACATCTCGTGGTCACACAGGCAGGTGTGCTTCTTCCATGTGGGCTTTTTTGCTTCACTGCTAGATGGTCACTTGCTTAACTTCAAGCCTTTCAGACCCCAGATGCTATATCTTGTAATAACCAGGCACCATCAGCTTTCTTCACCACATTTACTTATGAACCCATTTTGTCTTCAGTGTCGGGAAGGTGAGCATCACAAAATGCCAGGTTTTTAGGAAAAGTGTTCTTGCATAGAGGCTCAATGTTTTTGACATTTTTCAGAGAAGCATTTGATACCTTCTAATAAGTCAGTCAGTCAGTAAATAAATAAATATAAGTATAAATTTGGACGTTCCTCAGGAGCAGCCAGGCATATATAAAGTAGCTACACTGCTCCTGCCATCCACTCGTTTTGTTGGTGGGTGTACTCGAGGTGGTTTGGACCCACAGCAACTCCGTGGACAACAGGAGGAAACACTAGCCAGTCCTGCTCCATTCTTACAATTGTTTCTGTGCTTGAGCCCATTGTGGTAGCCACCCTGTCTGTTCATCTCATTGAAGACCTTCCTCTCTTTCACCGCCCCTCTACTACACCAAGCATGATGCCCTTCTTCAGGGACTGGCCTCTCCTGACAACCGTCCAAAGTGTGTCAGACAAAGTCTCCATTCTGGCCTCTAAGACGCAGTCTGCCCATAGTGCTTCCAAAACGGATTGTTTTTCTCCTTTTAGCAGTCTAAGAGTACTTTCAATATTCTTATTCAGCATCATAATTAAAATGCATCCAGGGGGAAGAAATGGGGAGCTGATATCTGGAGCTCAAGTGAGAAGAGAATGCTTTGAAAATGATGATGGCGGCATATGTGCAAATGTGCTTGACACACTGGATGAGTGTATGGATTGTGATAAGAGGGGTAAGAGCCCCCAATAAAAGTATTTTCAAAAAATGCATCCATTCTTGTTCAGCCTTTCTTATTCAATGCCCAACTTTCACATGCATATGAGGCCATTGGCAATACCATGGCTTGGTCAAGCCCACCTCAGTCCTCCAAGTTACCTCCTTGCTTTTCAATGCTCTACAGAGGTCCTGTGCAGCAGATTCACCCGATGCAACTCGTATGCTGATCTCTTCCATGAGCATTGACTGTGGATAGAAGCAAGACAAATCCTTGACAACGTCAACCTTTTCTCAGAAAACAGTTTTCTCCCACTTCCATTCCTTCACAGCCTTATCCACACCTCTGCCTTACTCAAACTGGGGAGTACCTGACTTCTAAAGAGACTGAATCCATTCTTTTCTTTTTATTTTTTAAAGAAAAATCATTTTATTGGGGGCTCTTACATCTCTTATAACAATCCATACATCCATTGTATCAAGCACATTTGTACATAGGTTGCCATCATCCTTTTGAAAACATTTTCTTTCTACTTGAGCTCTTGGTATCAGCTCCTCATTTTTTCCTCCCTCCCACCCTCCTCCCCCATGAACCCTTACTTGATCATTTATAAATTGTTATTTTCATATCTTGCACCAGCTATTGTCTCCCCTCACCTACGTTTCTATTGTTCGTCCTCCTTGGTGGGGGGCATGGTTATACATCAGTCCTTGTGATCGATTCCCAATTTCTGCCCCCACCTTCCCCCTATCCTCATGGTCCCGCTACTCCCATCATTGTTCCTGAGGGGTGTATCTGTCTGTACTTAGCTTGTCTCCTGTCATTTGGTTGCTTTGCCTCTAATCAGTAGTTTCTGCGACCTCACTGGATTTGCCCCTCACTTCATGAGATCACTACAGGGGTTTCCGGCCCGAGTGCACTCTCAGAGCCCCTCCTCCGCTTCAGAGAGTCAAGGAGGTCATACCGTTGGTCGTGGCATGCTGTCTAACGGCTCCACCAAGTTGTTCTGTTGGTTTTTTCCTTCAAATGCTGTACTGTTCTCACAGTAACATCAGGTCCTTCTGCTGAACCCCAACAAGCTTCTTTATCTGAACAGCGTTTAGGGTGTTTCTATAAGGCCCTTTGTTGTTTAATATACTTAACTTCTATTCTACATCTGTATTCAACTTGAAATTTTATATAGTAAAAATGCCTCAAGTATTTTGTCATGGAAAATAATTGGCTAATCAAAAAACCAACAGTTGCTTCTTCGTAGGCATCATGTAAGACAAGCAGAGGCATTGATAAAGTGTGCCCTGTCACCAGCCCTGTGGCAAAGGGAGTGGCCCTGGCTCTTTTGAAGGCGTAGTTTCGTGCCCTTGTGTAGTTTTTGTCAGAGGTGCCTCGTGGAATGTGCTAGGGGTCATTGCTGGCAGAAGCTGACTGTCGGCAGATTCTAGACCCACGTTCTGCTTGCCTTCCCGGCTGGGTCTCCAGCCGTCACCAGAAGGCGCGGGCCGGCACTTCCAAGAAGACTCCAGCTTCCAAACCAAGTGAGAGCTCCCGGAAGCATATTTGATAGAAAATCCGTTTCCACATGTCTCACGAGACATAATCATGTGCTTAATGCCATCGTATTTTTGCAGGTGTTTAATGATTGGCTTTAGGGACACATTAAAAAAAATCATACAACTCTTATCACCATCCATCCATCCATCCATCCATCCATCCATCCATCCATCCATCCAGTGTCAAGCACATCTGTACATTTGTTGCCATCATCATTTTCAAAACACTTTCTTTCTACTTGAGCCCTTGGTATCAGCGCCTTAGTTTTTTCCCTCCCTCCCCCACCCTCCCTTGATAATCTATAAATTATTTACACTGACCAATGTCTTAGGACACGTTCTCACGGAAAGCAGAGAGCTGGGGGGCTGCTTGCAATGCTCTCTTGGAATTGCCCTGCTCCCTGCTGACATTTCCTCAACTGTCTTCCTTTTGTCTTGCTAGTGCCATCCCAAATGCTTTGCTAATGCTGTGAGGCGCGGCTCTGGATTAGTCATTCCTGGTTTTTATGTTTTGTTTTTTTCCCCTGAAGTTAGCCTTTCTCTTTACAAAGCTCTGCATCCTGGCTCTGTGCTGTCCCCATTGAATTCGGAGAAATGATATCTCGGCAGCCAATCTCTTTTCCTGGAACACAATGTAATGTTGACGACACAGTGCAGCCTCGCAACTCCACAACAGAGCTTGTCTCGTTTTACTTGACTATTCAGTGGTGAGTAACAGCAGAAGTGGCAAGCCTTACTGACCACAGTTCATTATGTTTAATACCCATGCTAGTTATTTTCATAATGTGACTTGTAAATAAATTGATCAGATTAGGACTGAACCACCAGGCTGGCCGATACCCACCGGAAGGATTCTCCACCCGTGACTCTATTACGTTATTTAGAATCGTGGCACGAGAGACCTGCCCAGCCTGCAGCTGCAGATGCTCATTTATGATGCTGCCTTCTGGAGATGAGGAGATGACAGCCAATTGTTCTAGCAGCCCAGCCTGCCCTGCCAACAGTTCGGAGGAGGAGGTGCAACTGGGACCGGAGTTTCATGGGAACCTGAAACTTGTTTTCACAGTGGTGTCAGCCGTGATGGTGGGCCTGATCATGTTCTCTTTGGGATGCTCCGTGGAGATACAGAAACTATATTCGCATATCCGGAGGCCTTGGGGCATTGCTGTGGGACTGCTGTGCCAGTTTGGGCTTATGCCTCTTATAGCTTACCTCCTGGCCACCAGCTTCTCTCTCAAGCCAATCCAAGCTATTGGTGTGCTCATCATGGGATGCTGCCCAGGAGGTACCATCTCTAATATTTTGACCTTCTGGGTGGATGGTGATATGGATCTCAGGTAAGTTTTACTGGGAAGGGTCAGTAGCTTCTCCCTGATTTCATTTCTCTTGCGGGAGGGGAGGGAGTGGGGTAGGAAGGAACTAATGGGGAGTCCTGCTTTTGTGTTAAAAAAACTTTTCAAACCTTGTGGTAGAGATGCCAGTGGGAAGCACTTTATAGAGATTTTAAGCTGTGAAAGGACCTTCTTTCTGAGCTCAAACTTTACTGTGATTATCTTTTGCTTTATTAGCAACAACTTTCCCAAGTAGTGGACTTTGGTTTATATGCAATAGCGGAGGCAGTTTTCCATCTCACCCCATGGCCTTTCTAAGCATAAATGCATAGTCCCCTTCACATGTGTCTTTAGCCGTATCCACAGTCACAACTTCTCAGTTGTCAAAGACAGAGACTGAGCACTCCAGGAAGCTCAGGGTGGTCGTTTGAAATGCAGTGATGGTATAAGAAAAACTAGGCCCTCAAACTCACTTCTTGCCTTTGAGTCAATGCTGACTCATCGGGAGTGATCCCGTAGGACAGGGTAGAACTAGCCCTGTGAGCTTCCAAAACTATCACTGTACGGGAGTAAGAAGTCTCCTCTTTTGCCCAGATAGTGCCTGTGGTTTGAAACTGCTGAGCTTGCAGTGAGCAGCCCAGTGCATAGCCTGCTGTGCCTCTAAGGCTCTGTCAGCCAGGCCCTTGTTACTTCTAATCAGCAAGGCTGGGCCCTGCTTTATGACATGAGCATTGAAGGGACCTGGGAAAGGGACTTTGAGAGGCAGCTACTTGAAGTGCTGCCCAGTCGTTTGACTTGGGAACAGCATGGAGGCTCCTATGCGCTTTCTGACTGATTTTCAGATGCTCACACATTCATTTCCTTTGAGTTTCTGACCTCACTACCAGTTATGAGGAAAATAAACGCCACTGGGAGAGATAAAGCTTTACCATTCATGTATAAGGAGCCCTGTGGACTTGGTGGGGTCTCTTGTTTGTTTGTTTATTCATGTATACCTAAATGAAGATGAATGAGCCACAGGATTCGGGGAGTATGTATTTCGATGGGGAAGGAAGGGAGAGCACTAAGGAAGGAGCAGAAGTTCTTTATGGGAAAATGAAGATAACCGGTCTGCATTCCTTGCATACTTGCAAACAGATTCTTCCCCTCTTGCCGAGGGAAAGGACCACATATACAATTACATCTGTTCAACGCGTGGTTGAGGTTTATTGTACAACGAATGAGTGAGTGGCCCAGAGGTGCTGACTGCACTGGGGGTTCACAGGTGAGTCAGCGGGTATCCTTTGTCCTATTTTTGGGGGGGCATATTCTGAATATTTAGCATATGGAAAATATTTTAAAAATTTGAATTTGTTCATACCATGCAGACTAATCATTGACATAAAAGGGTCTTTAATGATCCACTCATCAGAGATCATTTGATAAGTTATGTATCTTACTACAAAGTCACTAATATTATGTATGTATTGCTGATTCAAATTCCATAAAGCTTATCATTACATGAAAATTGGGAAATAATAAATATTTTTAAACAAAGTTTATACATCACTGGTAGATTCCAAGGCTTGGTCGTTTCAGGAAAGAAGGAAGGAAGGAAACAAGTATTTGTTAAGAACCTTCGTGTAGACTCTGGGAGAAAGACAGAGCATTCTACTTCCATCCACAGATACAGTCTCGGGAACCCACCGGGGCCACTGTCAGTTGGCGGTAAGAATAGGCACTTCAGAGGTCCTTCCACATGCATTCTCCTTCTTGGCTCCCATAATAACCCTAAATGACCTTCTATGGTTCAACATTTTGTGACGGAAATTAATTAGGTAGCTTGCCAAACGCTACAAACAGCTGTGGCAGAGCTCAGATTTGAATTGACATCTGTTTTACAACAGGCTGCAATTTAGGCTTTCTTCCATGACATTTACACCAAACTTAGATCTGTTCAGAGTAGGGTTGTAAATTTTTAAGCAGTGTTCTCAAACACTTCTGGGAAAAAGAATGTTTATTTCTTATTAGTCTAACTGTGATTTTAAAAATGGATGGGAACTCAATCCAAGATCAAGCTCATTTTACCTTCGTTTGTTAGTTCTGTCCTTAATTAGCTTTAGCTTCAATTAAATACTTGAGCCCTGCAAGCCCTGGCGATGTATGAGCTAAATGTTATGCTGCTAACAGTAAGGCTGGCAGTTTAAGCCCACTGGCAACTCCTGGGGAGAAACATGAGGATGGGACAACCTGTCTCAGAAAGTCTCCCTGAGTCTAATCACATGTCCACAGCAGAGTTCTGAGAAAGGGAAGGCACATAACATCTCTTTAGAATGAGAAGTGAAACCAGTTCACCATCATTTTTACCACATCCCACTGGCCAGGCCAGTGGAAATCTCAAACTGAGCTCCAATTCAAGGAACTGGGCAATAGGATCTGCCTCTTTTTTTTTTTTTTTAATGTTGTTTTCATTGTTGAGAATATACACGACAAAGCGCACACCAATTCAGTATTTTCCACACAGATAATTTGCTGACATTGATTATATTCTCCAAGCTGGGCAAGACTGTCTCTTGACGGGATAAAAGGCAGTCTTATTGCAGAGGCCGAAGTGAAGATCGGGAGCATTTCTGCAATGTGCCATAATCGAGATGGATAGACTTCATGTCTTTGAGTGGAAGAAATGACAGTAGTATAATTAAGTACACAGATATGGAGAACTAATCACGGGTGCCTACTCAATCTGCATGCTGCTGACAGAGAAGCGGAACTTTACGAAGAAGAATGCAGCATCAAGATCAGAGGAAGGCTGATTGTTCCTTTTTTTCATTTCTTTTTTTCATAAATCATTTTATTGGGGGCTCTTATAGCTCTTATCACAATCCATATGTACATCCATTGTGTTAAGCACATTTGTACATATGTTGCCATCATCCTTTTCAAAACATTTTCTTTCTACTTGAGTCCTTGATATCAGCTCATCACCCCCCCCCCCCTCCCTCCCTCATGAACCCTCGATAATTATAATTTTTTTTCATGTCTTACACCTACCACTTACACCTTCACCCACTTTTCTGTTGTCTGTCCCCCTGGGAAGGGGTTATATGTAGATTATTGTGATTGGTTTCCCCTATCACCTCCACCTTCCCCTTCCCCTCCTGGTATCTCTACTCTCATTATTGCTCCTGAGGGGTTTATCTGTCCTGGATTCCCTGTGTTGCCAGCTCTTATCTGTACCAGTGTACATGCTCTGGTCTTGCTGGATTTGTAAGGTAAAATTGGGGTCATGATAGTGGGGGTGGGGGGAGGGAGCACTAAAGAACTAGAAGACAGTTGTATATTTCAATGGTGTTATACTGCACTCTGACTGGCTTGTCTTTTCCTTGTGATCCTTTTGTAAGGGGATGTCCAATTGTCTACAGATGGGCTTTGGATCCACTCCACACTCCCCCGCATTCACATTGATATGATTTTATTTTGTTCTGGGACTTTGATGCCTGATACCTGATCCCATCGACACCTCATGATCACACAGGCTTGTGTGCTTCTTCCATTTGGGCTTTGTTGTGTCTCAGCTAGATGGCTGTTTGTTTATCTTCAAGCCTCTAAGACCCCAGATGGTTATATCTTTTGATAGCCGGGCACCATCAGCTTTCTTTACCACATTTGTTTATGTACCTATTTTGGCTTCAGTTACTGTGCCAGGAAGGTGAGCATCAAAGAATGCTGGGTTATTAGAACAAAGTGCTCTTGTGTTGAGGGAGTACTTGAGTAGAGGCCCAATGTCTGTGTGCTACCTTAATACTTAACATACAAATATATGTACATAGATCTATTTCCCTAATGATATATATAAATAAATTTACATAGGTACATGTATTTAGACCTCTGTAAATGTCCTTTGCCTCCTACTTCTTTCCTCTACTCAGAGGAAGGCTTATTAACAACCTGCAATATGTAGAAGGCATAACCTTGCTTGTTGAAAGTGAGGAGGACTTAAAGCACTTGCTGAGGAAGATCAAGGACTGTAGTCTTCAGCATGGATTGCAACTCAATGCAAAGAAGATCAAAATCCCCACAAGTGGACAAATAGGTAACATCATAGACAAACTCAATGGAGAAAATATTGAAGTTGTCAAGGACGTTGTCTTGCTTGGCTCTACAAACAATGGTCATGGAAGCAGCAGTCAAGACATCAACATAAGATTTGCATTTGGCAAATCTGCTGCACAAGGTCTTCAGAGTATTGAACAGCAAGGTAGTTACTTTGAGGACTAAGGCATGCCTAACTTAAGCCGTGGTATTTTCTTTTTAAAAAAAAATCATTTTATTAGGGGCTCATACATCTCTTATCACAATCCATACATACATCAATTGTGTAAAGC